ATGAACACCTTGCTGGGGTCGTTTGACCCCAGTACTATTTCCTGCCATGGCAGGGGGTCAGACTAGATGATCTACACAGGTCCCTTCCGACCCTAGAAACTATGAAACTATTAAAAATACTATTTGTGGTGTTGATGCTTAGTCCAGCTTGCACGTTCTTGTTCTCATCTGGTGGGCGGAAAAAGGTAGTGCTTTGCTTGTGCGCTGAATTCTGGGAAATATTTTTCCTTTATTTATTTATTTATTTATTTATTTTTCTTTCCTGCCTTATTAAATTGAACATATCAGCTCTTTTGACCATAACAGTTTCAGGACTGATTTCTTAGTCGGCACCTTCACCATCATGGTATATTACTGACTGGTAATGCCTTGGAGAGTGACGTCTACTGAAAAGCTGATATTTCTCCCTGAAGTAGTTAGGTATTCCTTAGTGGGGTCCTGCCCATGCTAGATCTAGCATAACCCAGTTTATCTGAAAGTATTTGGTGGATTGCAGCACTAGCGAGGCTTCAGATTAACTGATAAGAAAACCAATCAAACCTAGCTGTGCATTTCATATTATGACTCTCTCATTACTTGGATTTTAAAGCATTCCTTGAAATACATCAAAACTCTCCAGCTCATGTCTGATTTCATTCTGGTTTTGATCAGCGGTCTTGAGAGACACATCCAAGTGTAAAATTAATAAATGATGAAAAAGTATCAAATGTCCAAAGGTAGATAGAAAAAAAACAGTCATAATTTTAAACACAAGTTTAAATGGAGTTCTACAGCTGGGGTTTGTTTATTGGTGACCCAGTAACAGCTAGTACTGTATTGGAAGGTACAGAACTATCTATTGCCTGGATGCCTGTTAGGCGGAGGAATTAGCCTTCTCTCACTTTCCCTTTATGCTCGAATACTTGAATTTCTTCAATGTGCTGGGCCTGGAATTTTCCTATCCCTGTTGCCCCTGTTTGTTTTGTCCTTTATGGTGTGTTTTGGTTTAAAAACAAACAAACAACAGGACGTTTTGTTAATCTCAAGGACTGGCAGCTCTTTCTCCTGCATAAACTAAGTGCATATTTAGTCCAGTCTACTCTAGTAATTTCCCTTAAGCATTTGCCAGATATAGAAATCCAGCAATATTCAAAGATTATTTTAACTATGCTTTACAGCAGTAAAGCATTCCCAGTGTTGCTGCTACTGCTGTTCTCACAGGAATCACAAATTGTTTCTAAATGCCATCTTGAGTGACAATGCAAACACTGTTCCTGCTCTTTGGGGCAAACAGTTTCTAACACTGACACAAGCACTAATGTGGGCAGAGTTCTAAGTAGAATTCAACAAAGGACGAAAATATTTTCATCCTTATTAACTGATACAGAATGGGGAAGAACAAAATGCTTCCCTCCATTTTAGACTTCATATGCAGCATAACATGGTGTTGCTATGTCGTCAGAATTCCTTGCCTTGATATTTGAGGTTACTTTAAAAAATGCAGATTGGCCAAAGTAAACTGTTATAAGTGTACCTTCAAATGTAAAATAACCATCAAATCACTAATTTATTAATGTACTGTTGAATTCTGTGGTTCATGGGTATTTTTTAACTTCAAAAGAACCAAAGGAAATATAGAAACTTAACTTTTATTTGGTACTACAAAAAGGTGCATCTCAAAAGTATTTTTAGAGAAAAATGCCAGTTACAGCTCCTTTGGTTAGCAGGAAATGTAAGCAAATTTTTGACATTGGTAAACGGGTCTCTTTATAGTCAGCACACACGCTTGATGCAGCATTATAAAGAATTACAGCACAATAGTAGCTTGTTTTTTCTTGGTTGTGGAGGGGACAGAAGCTGTGGTGATTCTGCCTTTTAAAAAGGAACTTTACTCTCTAGGTGTAAAATGCTGTTAATACAGACAACTCTTGATAACAAATAAGACTGACTTTAAAAGGATCTTAGCCCTGTGATTATTCTGTGGCAGTCAGTCTATCAGGGTAGCTTTAATTATGTACAACTACTTGACATGTTAGGGCCTGAGAGATCACAGTTGTTGGCATATTAGTTGATAAATACAAAGGGAAAGAAATTCTGTTTGTTGACTGGAGATTTTATAGCCAATGCTGCAACAGTGCAGCCAGTCCTACAGATTGATGGAGGAGGGGAATATTTTTAGGAGACATTGTGAAGGTGCATTGGCTCCCTGACTCAAATACCATGAGGGTTGTAAATAGTAGTATTCTTCCAGGAAAGATCTGGAAGAATACTACTATTTACAGCTCTCAGGAGATCTGCCCTGAAAATATAGGACATAACATGTTGCATATCAACTGTACAATTTAAATTGATTGTTTTTGTAATGAAGGGATGATTTTCTTTGTGTTTGGGATGGTGAGTGGAAGTTTTAGTCTATCCTTTCCTGAGATAGCATGTTCAGTGCTTGGATGTTGTAGTACTCCTTTCCTTTAGTTGTGCTTATATAGAGGCACAGCTTTAGCTTTGTTAGCACTCTTAGTTTATACCCATTTATAGTAATAATAGAAAATGATCTCTGGAGCATGTACTTCAATTGATATTTATCTCTTGTTTATTATGCTATACCTACACACAACTGATGCCATCAACTAACAGTTGATCTAATTAGAAATAATGATTTGAACAAAAAGTGTTGTTAAGATTATTTGACTCTAGGGAAGAATAACTTCTTATTAGATTTGTTTCAGCATAAGAAACATATGTTAGCACACCAATTATTTTACATTGATACACTATATAATACCTACTAGTGCTTTCATCAGTCAGTCTCAAGGCACTTTAAAAAAATGATAAACCTCATTGCTATAACGGGGCAGTCTGTCCCTTTACGAGGGAATAGTCAGTCTTGTTGAGGGAACCCAGCTGCACCCCACTAGGGTTGGATTTAGATATGCAGGCACAAGTGTGGTTTGTGGCACCACATAGAGGTTTGTGGTGCCACAAACCACATGTTGCACGTTTAACTGTGTGTAGCGCTGCTGATGAGCAGTGTTGGGGCAAAATTTGCTACTGGAATTTTTTGGTAGCAAAAAACACTCTGGAAAAAAAACCCGACACAAAGCATGCCAATGTGCTGTGTGTCAGGACAAATGCAGAGGTGGTGGAGCAGGCAGCCCAGGGCCTGCTCTTGTGCTGAGGCACCCTGTGCCTCAAGATGGGGGAGCAGGCAGTTCCCTGGGCTGGCTGCTCCCCTGTCTCTCCATACCTCAGTGCAGGGACTCTGCTGCAGAGCCCCCATGCTGAGGCATGTGGAGCCCCTGCACTGAAGCACGTAGATTCATAGATTCATAGATTAAGGGTCGGAAGGGACCTAGTAGATCTTCTAGCCCGACCCCCCGCCAGGGCGGGAGAACAACAAAAAACCCCAAAAAGAGAAATGGGACTCAAACGAGTCCAGCCAGGTAGGCATCCAGCCTCTTCTTAAAGACCCCCAGGGTAGGGGCCAGCACCACTTCCCTTGGAAGTTGGTTCCAGCTCCTAGC